TCGTTCGGTTCCCCTGCACCCAGGCGCCCCTGTCGCCATTGCCACGGATCTTGAAGCCCATTTCGGTGTTGGCGACGTTGTCGGATTCGAGGCCAGATCCCGGGCCAACGGACCTGTTATCGAGACTGTCCAAGAGTGTTTGCAAGCATCAGCAGGTGTGTATTGAAAGCCCATTCTTGAACAACAAGTGGTGGAACGCATGTAGCCACAGACTATGGGCCACAGTCACTAGAATATATCACCAGCCCACACAAGATCAAGCACCAGCCTGACATTGCGCATGTTGAACACATATGTTTGAATACATCCAACCTGTGCTTAGATACACCTGGAACAAAATGTCACCACACTCACATGTGGAATGTCTTCCTGTGGACATGGCGATTTGGATCTGGACCTTGACTTGGACCTCGGCCATGACAGCGGAGGGTTGCGTTTGGGCTGGCCCGGGCGGTTAGTGGCTTGTTCCTGTTCAGTGCGGTCTGCACTGTCTTGTGTTTTGAGTGTTGCTGTGACATTATGGGAAGTGGAGGGGCCAGTAGAACTGGGAGCCTAGAGTGGAGGCGTGGTGGAGAGGTGGTGGAGGGGTAGTGGAGGGTGTTGATGTTGCGCAGACTGTTGGAAGAGCGCGTTTGCAATGTAATTGCCTGGTTGCATTGCCGTTGTTGCAAGCACTGTTGGAAATACCGTGGGCACTAAGACATAAATGTTTGCTATGGCACCAAGCCTGTGCTGCCATCACTGTGGTTAGGCGAATGGCAACTGTAACCATGCCAGCCGTAAACTAAAGCTTATGTTACATGTTGTCGGCCTCCTGGCACAAAAGCACTGGCGATGAGAGGTGGGAAATGGATGGCCGTGACCCACAGCCTCACGACTTCATTGCGGTCCAAGACGATGGAGTCAGCGATGGCGATCTCAAGCACTTGGCATCTGGGAGTATCGTCAGTGATGTAAAGTCTCACAGCACCAAACACAGGGAAAGTTGGGATGCATAGCATTTGTTTGAGCAGCCCCAGAGGATGCAAGCGTAGTCAGCACAGCTGTCAAGCCACAATCGGGTGGGTTCGGTCAGCATGGGAAGCCAGTTTTGCTGTAGTTCTCTGTGTGCTTCGAGTATCTGCACACATCATAGATCAGGAATGTGCGACAGTTGGACTGTCCACCGCGCTCTCGTTTTGGCGCCTGGTAGGCCCTCGTAGCTGTCAAGGCCATGTTCAAAAGCAGCTTCACACTTGTAGTTGACGGTTCTTGTACCCAATGTCGCAGCGCAATTGAAACGTCTTGTACCCAGCCTGACAGAAGAAAGTCAGCTCTTTTGGCGCCTTGGAATACAGCAAGACGGTGCGAACGATGTATGCTCATAGAACAGGAAAGGTGGCTGTGCTGTGATAAATGCAATAGCAGCGAAGAGCGGTTGTGGAATTCTTCTCTGGAGCAGTTCAGGAGTGACCATAGACAGTGTTCTCAACTTGGTAAATGTGAGGCACGGTTTCAGCACGCATGCCAGTTTCCAACCTGGTCGACCACGGCTCGACTCTGCGAAAGCGAGGTTTGCATTTCGGTTTCACGAATGGGCATATTTTTTGTGCCCTCAGGTCTGGGTCCCACAAAAGGAGCAAGGGGAAGAAACGACACAGGGGAAAAACCAACAAACATGAAAAAAGCGAAAAAAGTGAGAAGAGGAGGACAGAAGGCAGCAGGAAGAAGCACAAGAGCAGGAAGCACAAGGGTGTGCCCCAACCTGTCGGATGGATCCTATGAGGGGGGTGGAGAGGGAAGAAGGGTGGTTGAGGCTGGGGATGCCCTCACAAGAGCTTTGCAAACTTGGCATTTGCTCCGTTGCGCCAGTGCACCCACTAGCCACGTGCTGGCAGATAGCATCGTCCTTGTAGCAAAAATGTGTTATTTGTAACAATATCTTATTCCACTGCCGGCCCATGCGCCGCCTGTGCAGCGGTCGTCGCTGCCTGGCCCGTTTGGATGCAGCTGGCTGTGCACAGGGGCTGCGTGTTCAGCAGCCGCACCGCCAGCAGGCCTGGCGCTGCCCTGTGCGGGGCCTCAGGCATTGCCGGTGGCAGACTGCAAGACAGTTACGTTTTTATGTGGCTCAAATTTGCCACAGGCCGGAAGTCCGCCCCAATGGCCTGGAAGCTCTGCTTCAATTGTTGGTTTGTATTGCTTGGCAAGCCAAGGGGTCTGGGCGCCATTGCAACGGATGACGTTGGGAACCCTCAAGTATGCACCATGTGGGGCGTGTCTGGCTGGCTTCTGCGAGCCCTGATGGGCACGAATTATTCGAACTGGAGAACAAGCCAGACAATTCCGGAGGAGCCACGTGCACGTTTCCCATCCTTGGACTCAGCCGCTCTCACAATCACCACCTAGAGCATCTTCAGTCGCGGTTCCCTCGCATCTGGAAATTGGGATGGTGTTGCAGCAACGTTGATGGGCCTTGATGGTAAGGGTGCCGCTGGGAGACAGTGACACGGGTTCCTATTGGGCGACGTTGATGCAAGACGTGCATATCAACGATGCGGCAACGCCACCATTGCTGCAACGTTGCTGTCAAGCACTATTGCTGATGTTTTGCTGCAACGTTGCTGTGATGGGTGTTGCTGCAACGTTGCTGTGATGGGTGTTGCTGCAACGTTGCTGTGATGCGTGTTGCTGCAACGTTGCTGTGATGCGTGTTGCTGCAACATTGGCCCACACTGGGTCGATGCAACGCTGCTGGACGGCAGCTTGCAACAATGCTGCTCTGACACGACTTGTTGCAAGGTTGATCATTACATGCAATGTCCATACCACATGCCCAAACCACATACATTTCCTGAACACACCCCCACTAGAGCCCTACATTCATGTGTTCATGAATGTCACAGGTAGTGGACCGCTATGCTAACAGACCCACAATACTAGCAAACTGCTTTGCAGCTGAACCATCATGCAACGAAGAACAAACCCACTGCACTAACAAACTGTTTCCTGCCGAACCAAGATGCAATGTCGCCAAGAAAACACGCAGCCATTGTTAGAGTGAACTGATATCGAAGACTGCACCCAGCGATCCCCTCGTTGGCATCAATTGCATGGGCTGGTGTGCGCAAAACATCAATCCTTGCAGATGTCCAGCTGACCTGACCCTCTGCCGCAACACACGACCATTAGTCTCCTCAACCTCCAATTCTTCTCTCAGCAACATCCAAGCAACCACACTGTTCTGACAGAAATGGAGTAGGTGAGCCCGCAGACCGGATCCCACAGAACGACACACACAGCAGTGGGACCGAACATGAGTAGCACAGTAGATGCAGTTGCAGCCTTGCATGTTGCATTTTTGGACACTGGTCAAGCAAAGGTAGCTTTTCTAAGACCACCGATCGTCTCCATTAGGCCCCTGCCATAGCTCAGAGGCAAATAAGTCCTGCATTAGCCAGCTGCCAGAAGGCAGGTCCCCTCAAGGCATTGGCCAATCCATAAAAGGCAGATTCATGATGCAAACTGTTGTCACATGTCTCCAGGGGCTCAGCCACAACCTGCAGCAACAGGAGTGACAGGTACTGCAGGATTACTGTATATGTCTATCACAGCCAAATAGCAAACATCACAATTTTGGTCCCACGATAATGATGATGTGTGACCATGCTAATGCAGATACCTGGTGCCTCCAGCTGTGGATCGCCAAGATGCTCCTGGCAACCAGGTAGACTCCCCCTGGCCGATACTTAGCTCCCATGCAGATAGGCACAAGGGACGCATGCCAGTCATTGGCCTTAAGCACAATATCCTCGCCATATGTGCTGTCATCGATGGGAAGCCGCAGCCATGCTTCAAGGGCTGCTAGGCACAGCAATATATACCAAAACTGCAGGGCACAAATGCATGCACCTGTTGTCAACAAACATGTCGAATTCTTCATCCTGAAGGTCAACACGGCGGACAGAAGGGGGGCAAGGGCAGAGAGCATGGCATGTTGCTCATACGCAGTTCGCAGACGAGCTGGTCTGCAGCTGATGGACCATAATGCACAAGTTGCCACTCAGCAACAGCCCATCACAGGTTACAACAAGCATTCCGCAGGGTGAGCTTTCTCTTGCCAAGAAACAGGTTCCGCGCAGCAGTCTCAACAGTGAAGCTATGAGATTTGCAGCCCTGGATCGACCCAGCAGAGGAATACCTGATTGTCACCATAGGTTCCATAGGAATCCAAATAGATTTCTCCTGGCCTCCTGTGCGATGGGCGATTTACAAGCACCCAGGCCACCCCCTTCCATTGGTGCAAGTATTAGTGCACAATGTTCCCATCAAGTCAACATCCATCTGCAATCGCCGACACCGGTGCACCTGTCAGCATGAGTGCAGTCCACACAAGTGCACACACCAAGATGTGTTCACATATTACAGCATTTCCCTTCTTGCTTTTATGGATACTCCAGCGATACTACCCCTTAAACAGTCGTCAAAGACCTGGTGGGTTCGCAATGTCAGCAAATGTGCCTCATTGCCTGCCATGCGCTTGTTGCTAGCAAGGTTCCAATTGTGCCGATCTGTATCGACATATTTCAACCCTTAAGCTCACTTGGACACAAGGGGCAGTGACACATTTGGTGGCAGCGGGGGCAGCGGTGGTGGCAGCGGCGGCGGCGGCAAGAGCGGCAGCGGGGACGGGGGCGGGGGCGGGGGCGGCGGTGCTTGCGTCCAGCCTCTCAAATTCCAAACAACGTAGAGCTCAGCGGGATCAGCACGCGACAGCACCATGCCCACTCCCACGATAGGCGCCGCGCACGGTCCAGGACGCATGCTCCTGTTGTTGAGGACGGGGGGGCCGCCGCCGCCACTCACAACCACAAGTCACATCTGGTTTCCTCACCTCGCGGTAACCCCGGTGCCATCGCCCATGCCGCGCACATTCTCAGAGCACATCGCCGCCGCCGCCGCCGCCGCCGCCACCGCCGCCAGCACTGTGGGGTCGCCGCCTTTCGAGGCGAAAACATTGCCTACACGGGGGAGGGGCGGAGAGCAGCTGGTGGCGGAGCGGCGTCAGGGCTCGAAATCTTTGAATCCACGCCAGGAGGGCACCCAGCTACAATCTCCATGAAAACTGACGTCAGCCCCCCCCCCGATCGCGCACCGCACCGATGTACGGCCGCCACCTCCAGTCCGAAAAAGGCCCAAGCCGTGGGCCCCTGCGAGCCCACGTGCTGTGCCAGCCCAAGAACGAAGGCAGCACGGGCTGCCTGGAGCAGCCGAGGATCCTTCCCGCCTCTAGCACACTTCTTCACTGACTTACAAGGGGAGCCCCAGCGTCTCCATTGGCATCGGCAGCCGCCCATTCAAATGCGTTGCGCACAGGCCCACACTGCGCGCCAATGGCTGTGGCTTGCCGTGGCGCAACCCCACTGTCCATGCCCGCCTGCACTGGAGATCACCTAGCGGGGGCGATCCTCGCCGGTTCCCCATCTGGCCCAGCCCACCCACTCCCCGTTTGGGCAAGCCCAGCAACTTGTGAATTGCAAAAACGCCGAGTGTGCCGCTACACTCTGCGCTGCCCTCAGCCATTCCCAGCCCACCCGCACGCCCAGCATCCCCACGCACCTCCTGCCCCGCCATGCACGCATGTCGTGTGTGTTGGGGCGGACGTCCAGGAGGCCCGTTCTCCTGGAAACGGGGCAACAAAATGGCAAAAGCCACCGCACAACAGCCGAGGCCGAAAATCGAACAGCTACAACTTAATTCGTATCTCACCCAGCAGTCCTCGCCACTGTGTCCGTGAAGCGAACACTCGAGCCCTTGGGCCAGCACCAGGAGCGGTGGGTCTTCCAGCAGAGCAGAAAGAGTGGGGCTTTCCGTCAACGTTGTTGCGCCTTTCAGAAACACGCATCGTGGCAACGTTGCTGGCAACCCAGGGTTCCAGAAACATTGATAACAACTGATCGTCTGCATGTTGACGCAACTTGGATGTGGGAGGTCTCACAGCAACGCTGATGGCAACCTCACCGTTGTTGTAACATTGCCAGGGAGGCGTTCCAGCAGCGTTGACGAACGAGAGCGTTGCTGGCACGCTGATGCGTAGGCCCTGCATCAACGCTGAATACGATTGACGCAAGGTCACATTACCATCAAGGCCCGTCAACGTTGCTGTAACTCCATCCCAATTTCCGGATGTAGGCGGCACAGCAGCCAATGAAAACCTTTCCTCGATAGCACTGCCAGTGTAATAGCACCGACCTATAAAGATGGTCACACATGATTTGGCAACCAACCATCACTGCAGCAATGATGCTGATGGCACACACAAAAGACACTTGTAGCAAGGTAAGAGTGGCAACCCGTAACCAATGCTGCAATCGACAATCATGAGGAAATGGGACCCAAATGACACAGTTCAAGAGTGCACAAAAGGTAATTGCAAGATCTGCTGCAGACTTGAGCCTCTCACCTCCACATGCTTTCTATTTTTGCATGATGAAGCGTACACTATTGTCTCCTTCATGCCTGGAACATCTGGGCAGAGCGAGATGCTCACGATCTGCAACGCCGGGGCCAACTGCAGTGCAGGTGCCAAGTTGCCATACTCATCCATGCCCCACAGTACGCCATACACCCTGGTCCCAAAGTTTAATTCTGCGGGGGTCAGCAAGCATGGGTGCAAGTACAGATCACTGCTCTGCAGCAACATATGATGGGAGTTTGAGGAGGGTGATGTCGAAACCATGTTGCAGTCTCTTGTATTCAGGATCAATGACAGTACTTTCCGCCAGCGACACCTGGAGGCAGACACACGATAAGCATGCCAACGGACAGGTCCTCAGGAGTTCGCAGATAGACTCGGTTTAGCATTTTGCTTATTACACAAAGTTTAAAGATATTGGGCTTAGCACATTCTGCACATTGGCATATGTGCACCATTGGCATGCAAACAAGCAACGCTTTGCGACTGTGTTGATACAGAGTTACTCTATTTTCATGGCCAAGCTTGACCATCTGCAGGCATCCGCACAGCAACACTACAACCCAGCAGTATCCACAGGTGTCATTTGCGTATCATCCAATCATTGGCTGCCAGCTGCTGTTGTTCTACAACAGGTGCGCAGCACCAAAGTCACCTTCCTACTTGCCGTTCTCGGCAACCAACAGCCGCTGTGTGCATTATCAATTTCTGCAAGCACAATGCTACAGGCGCTATATGGTTTGTAGAATATAGAAAGATGCAATGGTGTCAAATGAGCATATGTCCACAGAGCGCAATTTCAGCTCTGGTGTTTAGCTTGTATTACAAATATACATACTAGAAACAGCAAAGAGCTCAAAGCTGCTTGGCGTATGCTCGCCATGATGCCGTCCTCATCCACTCCATGGGGACCAATCGCAACGACTGCATTGCGCCCGTGTCTGGCCTGCTTTCCAACACAATGGGCGGCTGTTGCCACCCAGTTGGGGTGCACCAGGATCTCAGCACAGGCGAGGACATGTCCATCACTCTTGGTGGAGACTATGTATGGGAAGCGGTCCCTGGGGACATCCATGGCCCGCTGCGGATTGGGGTACACCTCGTGAGCTATAGCACATATGAAGCATGTAATGGTTCTGAGGAGTGGCCAGCAACATGGGTGCAAAAACAGAAGCACAAAACACAGCAACAGATGCCCAGCAGATAGTTGTTTCACTGCTAACCGATTCACCGTAATTTTCCCCACTTCCAGCCTGAGACCTACAGCCAAGAGCTAAATGAGGTAGTCAGTCGCCACATACTGCACTGCAGGGACTCAATTGAAACCTCTTTTGAAAGCTGCCAGCAAAATGAGGTATCAGCCTTCAAACTCTGTGTGCATCATTCTGGATTACTCCTTGTGGTACCGGCGCGAATTTTGTACAGTAGGGGTTCCTATATAGCGCCCCTTTTTCGGCTTGCCACCATTTTGCAGTACTTTATGTAGCTTCGCTGCGAAGTGGGACCCCAAGCTACTATTGTGGACACCCAAGAGAGGCGTCCGGTGGACGGACGCTGCAGCGCGCGACCGGTCGGAAACGGCACCGTTTCCGCGAACTTAGCATATCGCGGACAGGCGGACAGTACGTCTGGTGCGTCCGCGGTGGGGTCCGGGCCCGGGATCTCCCCAGGAGGTTAGGGGAGGTGTGCGTTCTGCGGCTGATCTCCATCTGCGCACAGCGAAGTAGGCACTGCCCGTCTTGGCTCCTTGCTGCCGGCTGACTGGAGAGATAGAAGGGGTGCCCAGCGCCGCGGCGTCCATTTTTTCAACGTGGAGATTGCCGCAGACTCGAGGGCCGATAGAGACCATGTCCCAAACGAGTATTCTGTGCCAGCCTCCGCCTTGCCCTTCAGGATCGGTAGCCGGCAGCGCCTGGCGTCCGAGTCAATGCCGATTGATTCCACTCGTGGGTGCCAATTTGAACACTCGCAGGTGGCACCATTCAATGCAAACGGGGGGCAGCAATGGCGAGAGTTGGAGGCCACGTTCGGCCTCCCACTCACGCCTTTTGTTGTGACTTCGGTGCCCAGCTATTAAATGCTGCGCAATCGCTGTTGACCGTTGGCACTCGCCCATGCTGCACCTGCACCTCTGGGCCATGCAACTCGAACACAGGGGAGTCCCTGGCTCCGGTTGGCCTGCCACATGGGTGGGGAGCGACGGGTCGCGTTCGTTGTTTGATGCGTCGCTTACGACTCAAAGCACTAGGACGTGAGGTCGTCCGCGAACAGATATTTGCAGAAATGCTCAATTGGGGGGTTATCCCCCGTTCTCTATGGTAAGATGCGGCTCTGCTTGGTTGGGCGCAATCTGCAATCACAATGTGGGCAATGCTGTGCGAGTCCACGTGATGAGTTGCGATAGGCACCCATCCGGAAATTTGCTAGGCGTTGATGCAACATTGATGGGCACTTCCATCAATGCTGGTCTTAAGAGCTGGTGTGTGTAGAGCGGTCTTGATGCAATGTTGCATCAAGAGCAACATGGCAACGTTGCATCAATGCTTGAATTGATGGAGTGTTGCTATCAAGGGCTGTTGCTGGGGTGTTGATGCAACATTGCAGCAATACGTCTTGATGGTACCGTTGCCGCAAGACACGTTGTTGGAATTTTGGATCAACGACTGTGCACATGAGCGTTGATGCTGAGTTGTATTGCCAAAAGGGAGAACAATGTTACTGCAATACGGGCGTCCATCAACAGGCTTGCAATGGGCTCATTCTTTGATATTGAAAAGTTGATGCAAGGCCCGTTGATGGCAACGCTGCCAGATGGTTCTCATCTGGAAATTCGGTAGGCGTTGATGCAATGTTGATGGGGCTTGAGGCAACGGGGTCATTGAAGCAATGACTAGCAATGTTGAGGCAAGGCCTATTGAGCAACGGCTCACAGATGCCGGCGTTCGTCAACGACGCGGCAAGGTGTCTTTCGGCAACATTGCGGCAATGTTGCTGGCCCACTACCACCCATCAACGTTGCTGCAACGTTGAAGCAGTGGCCCAGCATGTCAACGTCACATCAGGACTGATTGATGCATTTGCGGCCAATGTTGCATCAATACCGCCATGCATCAATACTGCAACAAAGCTGATTGCACAAAGGTTCCGCAACGCACCACAACACGTCAGTTGCCAGCAACGTTGACAGACGCCTGTTTTGAATGCGCTGTTTCAATACCAAGAACGCCAAGGCGCGCGCGGACCCAGCAACAACGCGGGTGGACGACAACCGCGGACACAGGAGGTTGCGCGCAACGAGGTAAACCGCACTGACCTTGACCGACACACGCGTGCGAGGCCTGCATCCTTTCTTTGATCGCGACGCCCAAGCCGAAACCGAGTTCACCTTGGGACGCTCATGTTCAAGGCTTTCTGAAATGGATCCGCGACGTGCCCTTGTGGGACTTTCAGTGGGAATAGGCCAGCGGCAGGGGTAGCGCTGCTCAGCCACTCACGATCGTTGCCCGGGAGCAGCACGGGACGCTGGCGCTCCAGGCATTCCGAAATGAATCCATGACGTGTCACGTAGAGTTCCGGTGTGAACGTGTCAGGGGTAGCGCTGTTCGCCACTCACGCTCGTTGCCCGGGAGCAGCACGGGACGCTGCCGCTCAGGGCTTTGCGAAATGGATCCGTGACGTGCCACGTGGGAAATCCGGTGTGAACGGGGCAGGGGCCGGAGTTGCGTTGCTGGGCCACTCACGATAGTTGGCCATCGATGCTGTCGGAGGTGACCTCCTGGTGGCCGGAAGGTTGCCATCTCTGTGAGTCTGGGTGGCCGATAAGCGTCCCGTGTGTTGAAAGGGAGCTTTTCTTTTCTCTTTATGGGGCACCCTCTATGCAGC